TAACGCAAAATAAGTAAACATTGAATAATATAAATGCATTACAAATTGTGTCAACAGGTCAAATTAACACGAAAGTACGATTTGAGAGTACTCGCAGTTACTGAAAGCTAGTTAAAAGCCAAAAACAATTAATAATCAAAATCATGCATCAGAGACTAAAATCAATTAAAACACATCCCAGGCAGGGATTTATTGTTTTAACGCCATGGACAGTCAAAGAAGACATGACTTGTGCAATGCCAAAATAAAAGTAACGACAGGCAGTAGGATAGTTAGTATTTAACCTTATAATAAATATGTATGATGTTATATATATATAAAACAATGTCTAAATAGAATTTAAAGTGGATGTGTTTTTTATACATCCCCCCAAAACTTTCGAAAATAATACAAATTTAGTTATGTTTTAATTTGTTGATGACAAAATCGATGTTAGTGCCAATGAAAACAATATTCAAAGATCTTATTACAACATTCATAAGATAATCTTTACTAATAAGTTTGTTTAAAGGTTCGATAAGTTTACACGGATCACATAGTGATTTCCGCGCTTTTAGTACAATATTACCGTAAAATTTAGGATGTGAAATACCGTTTTTAATAAGTTTTCTACAGGTACAGCCAAATTTACTAATCAAATCTTTGTATCTATGAAAGAATTAAGTAAATGATTTAAGTAATTTATGGTAACGAAATCCCTGACTTAATAATTTACCAGTGATACATTGATTACGTTCGTTAAAATCTATGACATCACTACACACACGGGCATAACGAATAAGTTTATTTTAAGACAATAGTTCTTACAGGAGAGGCGGAAGATACCAAATGACATTCAAACCGATAAGTCGAAGACAAACTGACCTCGGCATGGCAAAAAAAAAAGGTAAAAGAAAAACGACCGAAAGACAAACAACAATCTACAAAAAGCAACATAGAAAACTGAAGACTAAAAATATTAAAGCATTTTCTTATACTATAATTTTTACATTTGTAAATTTATAAACTGTATAAAATATTATTCAGTTTCATTAGTTCTTTGTGTGTGATTTATCTTTTACAGATATACTAACGTTCGTATAATCCTGGCTAACACAATAATTAGGCATCCTAAAATCCAGCGACAAATTTTCACAAGCGTAACCATGTTTCTCTCAGCTGTTTTAAATACCAAATTAGATAATTAGAAATTCATTTGAAGCACTTCCGGCATTCCCTATTCTTAGCGACATATGTGAAGTAAAACTATGCAAGGTTCGAAAGAACTTATATTCTGTGGATATTATTACATCGGTTCCCTACGTGAATCCTCGAAATTAACAACCACAGATAGGAATTTCCTTTTGGGATATGAACCCGCGTTATATTACATATTACTGCGGTAAATAGTCCAATACTAGTATCCGTTATAAAACGTTCAACAGATTTGACCACAAATCTATATGCATAAACATACACTTATTTTTCACATATTATCATAACCATTTCTGAATGTTTCAGATGGTTTGGGCCGAAACAAGAAAGAAAGGATGTTCTTTGAACAAATGTAACTTCGTGATGTTCCTATGCTGTTTCTACGATCCCATTTATGTCAGAGTTATTGATGTTTAAGAAAAAAGCTTTGCACGAATAAAAGATGATGAATATGCGGTTATTGACAATAAGACAGCAATTAATGTAGCAACACAATAAATCAAATACAGAATAATACAACTAGCTAGAGGACGAAACAAGAACTCCAACGATAGACAGTGTCCATATCATATATGAACTCTGAAATGGCACCAAGTCTAAGCAACTCCTAAACGAACTACCCTAGCACTGCAAAAACTTCATTTAAGATCAAAATATTATTAGGGCCAATAACAATGTCTAATTAAGAAGATCTTGGGGCGATACAGGTTCTGAAAACCAACTTATTTTGCGTTTTCCTTTTGTTAAGCTCTTTCTAGCCGGTGTTGTTGCGATTTATGTTTACATCGGATGTGACCTTGAGAGGTCATACCTGTGTTATGTTGCCGCAGAAATTTCCTTGCCGTTTGACTGATAACCGAACGTTTTTCGTATAATTACGCGGATATTATCAAGTGCAAAATAACATTCCTTATCGCTTGTTATATATTAATTTCTTCAATAAATATTCATGAAAATAATTTTTAAGAACATAGATAAATGTATGAAAATTTTTTGTCGTGAGAAATATATATATCAATAACAAATCATGGATACCGAAAATTTGTGTAAAGGCATGTGGAAGAATATCTCGAGAACGTTTTGCAACAAAAGCTGAAAAATATGAATGCTGAAATGTCTCGCCTTCTTTACAGCAAATCATCCACACAGGAACTTGTCTCAGAAAAAATATATCTATGTACTTTAACCTAACTTTCAGGTATAGAGATGTGATTTTTTTTTTTGAGACAATTGCTTGTGACCATCCACCAAACTTGCGGTCATCCAATGTTCAGTACTTCAGTACTTTGATTTATATTATATTTTTGCATATACTATTGTTTAAAATGATTTAAAATTGAGTACCTGATATCAATATTGTTGCAGGGGCAATTATCTGTCAGAATACCCATATCTGAAAGGTACTCAATGTTCTAAATGTCTGGCAAATGAAGGGTGTGATGACGGACTATGTACAGCTAGTAAAGGTAATGTATTGCACGAAATGCTTATTACTGAATCAGCTTAATTTATAGAAGTCAAATGTTGTTAATAACTCTGGTTGCTTAGAAGATGTTATACTGTTCGACAGATGCTAACATTTCTATGGTGAGTTTATAAATTGATTATTACTTAGAAACGATCTCCACAGCCATCCATTGTGTCATTGATTTTATATTTATGTCATTGTTCATAGACAGTTCAGATTCAAGAAATGTGCTGGGACACTGAATATGTGAAAACGTTATTACTTTATGAAAGACTAACTTCGAACTATCATAAGTATTGCTTGATTTGTTGATTTTTTTTAATTTTAACTTTAATGCGTAATCAGGACTGGAACAAAAACACAATAAATAAAAAAGTTTGTTTCTGCAGAGGGGTCGACTGAGTTGAAGTCACGATGGGAATATCAACTGCCACAGAAGAGCGAATATCTGTTTGATATGGACAGAAGTTTTGTCTTTCAATCGGCCACTTAGGGACTCTCAATGAGTTGTCGCAAGGTCCTTTAAAATGCAGAGAGCGTGGCACTCAGTGGCGTCAGATTTAACGTATTAATTCTGACCGGACGTGTCTGCGTATTTATACATCACGCACAGTCAAACAAACGCCCCAGTTTAGCATGGGTTTTCCACCGAATTGAAATACTCCAGCATGTGCGACAGGTTTATATTTACTTTTTCAATCGCTAATTACTATAGTTTTATTTGTTTATCCAAACTTTTTTGTTGTAATTTTTGAAATTTATAATATATTCATCTTTCATTGACAGTTTTTACAGAAACTTGAAACAGAGTTTTGTGCTAAATATCAAAGTTATTGTAAGATATCAGAAACGTTTATGGTAGACAATTGCAGAAACACATGCAATTTTTGTAAAATGAATTGATTGGGACAAAAACATTGAAAACTGGTGAACACAAGATAAAATATCAATAAACAATTGGTTTTTTTTTTCTAGCAAAGTCTAAGGTAGTATCCAGTTGATGATGTCAGATGTAAGTTAGACTATATCAAAGGGCCATTAAGAATCAAAAGTCTAACTTCATGATAAAAAAGGAAAGACAAAAACTCATCAAGTATAACAGGCAAGCTTATAATTTGGTATCAAATGAAAACTGCTGGCATCGCACAAACTCCAAAAAGGAGCGAGACCAGGTGCGTCGAAATGGTAAGCGTCTCCTGCTTTGCATGCATGAACTGCCATGCGAATCCACACCTATGCATGAAGGTAAAAAAACTTTAATAATTCGACTAATTCAGCATTTGATAAAGAGTATATTTACAGAAAATGAATGTATCAATGCTATATCATTTCAACACTTAAGTGCTGACTACTGTGCTGGTGGTACCCGCGGTCGCAAGTGGTTGTAAAAACTCATCAAAGATACCAGGCTTATAATTTCGAATACTATGATAAACACTATCACAGTTACAGAAAGAAAGCCAAAATTACTTTTAAAACCTGTTTATATGAAATCATGCTGTCATACACTGCTATATCGGTTACTGTTCAAGATTTTATACAGTATCGTCATAAACAGTACAGGGAGACACGTCTTGTAAATGCCCAGATCAAACTGTTCAAAAATTCAAAGTAGAATAACAAAAGAAATATTTTAGTAGTGCTTCAAATTATGAATCAGCGAATTGATGAGTATTCGCCAAAATATCAAACACAGTGATTATACAACACCAATATAATCATTTGCTTTCTAACTATAGGATTAACTATAACATTTATATTACAATTTTTCATGTCAAGTCATTTAGTACAAAAAAACGGTTATTACATGTCACATATTTATTGGCTTGTGCAAAGTCAGGAACCTATACAGTGGTTGTCTTATGTCATATCTACATGTGGTTGTGTGTGTGTGAGTGTGTTATTTTGGCTATCTAGACCATGTTTTCTTCGCTGTTGATTGTATTTCTTTATACGTCTATTTTTTTCGGAGACTGTTGCAGAATTGTTCGTATTTTCTCTTCTAAAACCTTTTTTTTTATTGAAAATCCTGTATTTAGGAATATATACCTTTGAATTCGAATAAAGAAATTTCCATGCATATGTTTTTCACCCTTCCAGAGTATCCGATTTTAAACTCATAGATTATTTACGGAGTTTGCGTTGCGGATTTGTTTATTTTTTAGTGTAGTGCTGTTAGTTTTTCTTCCTATTTCTTTTGGCCATGGTTTTGTCCTCTATTGCTTTTACCTATGGTTTTCGATAGCACCCTTGGTATTTTGTTCCTTTTTTTTTATAGAAGTACATCTCGTTCATTGGAAATTGAAGAAAAAGTCACTTATATTGCAATGCTTTATTCAATTATATTTGGCAGTCGTCAGTAACACTCTACGTATAAATTTCAGGCAATTTGCTGTATATTTCCTAACAATGTCCACACGTCTTTCTACAATTTTTCTTCATGTAAGCTGCATTGCTCTCACAGGAGAATTTCCATCCAGCGCATTTTGTGTCTCCAGCTTTATCCTCGCATGCTGGTCCTGAAAAAAATATATACAAGGTAACCATGATATACATGAACAGTTGCAACGAAACATATGAATATGTAATTGCTCTCATTCAAGCTTTGAATTATAATATGGTTTGCTCTATAACCTTGTAAATGTATTATAGCATCTACATTAAATTAAATCTAAGGGTAGGTAGTTACAAACACAGTTTTATTCATGCCCTGCACATGAGTTTCCTTTTATGCTTTTATCCTATCTATATTTAACTTAATACCCTCCAATCTAATGAGAACTGGATTGAAATTTTAAACAAGCAATTATTGTTTACTTCAATAATTAGTTAAGAAAACGGATGTTCGTATGAGAGGAAGGATCAGCGGTATATGTTCATGTGGAAACCTCACACATCATAAAGGAAAATATCCTAGTGTCAAGGAAATAGAAGTGCATTCTTCAGTTTTACATTAGCTGCCAAGAGTGGCAATGTTAACCTCAGATGGATTTGGCTATTATATTCAATGCTTTCTTGGTCATATAGCTCTTCAACTGATTCGCTTCTTCTACAGCATTTGCTTTCAAATATTTGGTTTTTAGCGCTCCTGGTGAAGGTAAATCGAGTAAAGCGCTTCGGGCGCATGAAATTTAAAGGGTTGTCTTCATTTTTTTTTAAGTATCTCGGATAACTAACATTTTAAAGATGTCTATTCAACGATATTAGTATTTAAAAATTAAATAATATAACAATTTTAAAAATGCAATTTGATGCAAACCAGTGTGTTTGAACCATAAAAAAGAAATATGGCGGTTTTTTATATCAGAAAAAAATGCTACTGTTTTTCTTGCTTTTTTCCTTTAACAATGAAGTTGCTGGTCCTTGTTTTGAATGTCCCTATACACTACCCTTCTTTTCGAAAGAACCCTAGAGGGATTTGCAATATTATAATAAATTGAAAACCAAAGTAGATGGTATCCTAAAATAAGTAATAATTCACTTCTTACCTGCTGTCTGAATATCGTCATCTGAAAAAATGTAAGAAATATTTCAGGATTTTGACATTAAGACATGTTTTCTAGGAGTGAGATACTGTAAATTCAGAAATTATTGCGAGGTTTTTATTAATGCGAATGATGCGACTGGGCAATAATAAGAACTCGCATTCTGAATTCGATGCATATGTCTGTATGCAGATTTTCCTGAAATCGCAATAACTAATATCGATCTTTTGTCCATTGTTAAAAAATCGCAACAATAAATGCATGCAATAATTTCTGAACATTTCATTTATACCATGATGAAACTCAAGGAGCAGAAAAATTTTAATATTGAAACTATGACAGAGATAGCAGTAAATAAGTTATAATTTGTTGATACATTGTTGAGACACTGTTAGATGTGTCTGATTTGTCTACGCTTTACGCTACTATTCCCAATGCTCAATTAAAAGATCGAAGACTTGTATTTGTTATCAATTAAGTAAAATACATAGGAAGCTATTTAAAGAAAAAGAACACCTGGCAATGTTCTTTAATCTCAGATTTATTGATGATGTCCTGTCACTCAATAACCCACATTTCAGTGAATGTTTGCATCTCATATATCCTGGTGAACTTGAGATTAAGGATATTACCGAAACTGGAAGGTCTGCTTCTTAATCTTTCGTTCTCGATACTGGCGTTTACATATCTTGATTGATATGTTACGCTTGTGAATGTTCCACCATACAGACTTAATTCGAAGGGGTGTGATCCTTACACAGAAACTGCCCAAACAGAGTTATGATGAAATAAGTTTTACGGTCACCATCACGAATTGGTTAACCGTTATAATATGTATGTGTCTAAACTCATTAGCGACATTGTTTTCGTAATCCTTGATCTGAACATAACAAAATAGTGGTCTTATTTATTATTTTACCAATTGTGTTCTATTCACGATTGTGACATTTTAACTGAATGTGGATTGTCATAATTATTATTTATAAATTAACTGTTTACAAAACTTTAAATTGTTCGAAATACTAAAAATTTTCTACCACAGAAATAAATTACATTAGCTGTATTTAGCAAAGCAGGAGACGCCTACTTTCGACAAACCCAGCGAAGCCCCTTTTGGAGTTCATGCAATTATTTATGGGATTTGAAATTATTAAACTACTGTGCGCATAAAATTGACGAAGTGTTATTTTCATTTTGCCTAAATTTACCATTACCGAATGTTAATTTTACTCAAGAATTAAAAGTGTATCATTAAAAAGGTTTAGTATTCAATTTTGCAGCTCTAAATACGGATTTTCATGCTTGATTAACATATATATCTCAAGAAAACTACCGACACGAAAATTCAATAGGTAACGAATCGTCTAAAATTGAAGATTCCACACAAGCAGGAAATATACAAGTCTTCAGATTTGTGCAACGATACTGATAAAAAGTAAATATGTACGAATAAAATGAAATAAAATCGTAATGATAAATATTTCGGCAAGTACATTTATTATATATAGGCCTAAAATGTTAATAAAACAATGTCATATATGTATAATATGCATATATAGAATAAAACGATTACCTTCGCAGAAGTGGCAAGACTTTCTACATGTCTTCTCCATCCATTTTTGGTTTTTGTTGCATTCTTTAATGGATTCCCAGTATTCACACTTATCATCTTTGTCTTCACATACTTTCCTACCTTTCCCTGTAAAACAAGCGAAATATAAATATGAAACAAATCAAGATATTATTATATTATTTTTACCATAATTACCATGTTCGTCTAATAAGTAAATTGTTGAACTATAAAAAGTCCCCAAAGATACCGTTTCCTGATCTAGTTTTATGGCTGTTATTGTTCAATAGAGTAAAATCAGTATCTTTAAAATATTGATAATATAATTAGTATATTCTATGTTTGTACCATATCCCTCTCTCACAAATACCAAACAGGTAAAAAAAAAAACCCAACATATTTTGAATGTGTAATTGCACACAAATATTTTTTTAAAACAGCCTTAAATATAATTAGAAATAGGTTGCTGTGATGTTGACTATATTCTTTAACGCCTAAATATGACTTGAAGATCACAAATGTGAATAGTTTAATCGTATGAATATACTATTGAAAGTTCACTGATATTAATAAAATAGTTAGTGTCTGGTTAAAGTCACTAGGTCAAATGGTAAGATTCAACGAATTTTTACTGCTTGTATTTGTTGACTCTTCTACAGTTGACTCGTTATCTCAATGTTTCTTTATCTGAAAATTCCTGTTACTTCAACATTAAACGCCTATCCCAATTGATAAATTTGCATTAGGTTTACTACTACTTTTTCAAAATTTCTGTTATTTAAAATAAATTTTATCAATCCGTTGAACTTTAAGAATTCGATTCAAACTGAAATAAAATTTGCTTGTATTTATTGCTACGCTCAACAAACAAAGTATAAGTCAGTAGAGAATCAGCTTAATTTTAGGAAGGGATCAACGTGAAATCAAACTAAGTCGAACATCTGTCATACTATGACAGGAACTAGATATTTGTTCAATCATACCTTTTGAATAGAAGACGAAACATACAATCAAACGTACTGATCTATAATTTAGAAGTAAACTTTCAATGATATTTTAAAACGTGCTATAAAAGAAATAATGGTTCAGGAAGTTTTTCATGATGTTGAAACCAGTGAATACCTGTGCAAAGACCATCGTCACATGTCTGTCCTTCTAGACATTGAGAGCATGGTTTTCCTTTTAAGTATGGATACTCAGACATATCATTACCCCTAAAACATAAATTAAAATATATTTTTATACCACTTATATACAAAAAGACGCTCATTGTCCAATAATTTCCATTTTTTTTATGAATGTTATCGTTGAAAATTCTGGCAACACATATTAAACAAATAAATTGAACCTTGTGAGAAAGAAGAGATGTTTGTACTGTCGTGGATTGTAGGAATTAAGATTTTGCTTTAAAAAAAAATATACGAAGTTGTAAGGGTGGCTTTCTTTGAAAGTCAATTTGGTGTCTTGTATTTATAGCAAACCAGTTTTCATTTCATAGTCTTTTCTGCTTGATCAATGCAATTAACTGATTCTCTGAATTAACATAAGAGACTTTTCCAGAAACATTCAAATACATATAGAAAAACGTACTATTATTAATTTATTTCCACAGAAACTTTGAAAAGTCAACGAATCCTCTGATATGCTTTGTGAGGTTCGCTTACCAGGACAAGAGTCTTTGTGGAAAAAAAACTCTGAGGATCCTTTCCAAGCAAGAAATATAATACAAAATCTTATCAGCATAAAACTATAACTAAGCAGTAAGAATGCCATTAACTTTGGGAAAATGGTTGAAATTTCGGTGCAATTCTATTATGCTTGACAACCTCAAAATTAATTGTTTGTCTCGCAAAGGTCTTGATACAAATTAAACGCCCAGCATACTTGATAACACTAAACAATCAAGTGCTTGTTTTGTGTTTGGATAGTTTAGCAATCACAGGTAATGATAAAAATAGAGAAATGCAATTTCATACCATTAAGAATATTTTGTTAAAGTTTCAATCAACGTTTCCATTTTTCAAGGAAATGTTGAGGAAGGATATACAGAAAGGCTTATGAATAAACATGCCAAATACACAACATAAAAGCTATAAAATGTAAACCTTACGCTGGATCGTAGAAACAAGCCAAGTACAATGCATCCTTTATCATACGTCCAGAAAATGATAAATAACCGCATTTATTCATAGCACATCCAACCTTCCTTGTTTCGGCCCAGACTACCTAAAGATAAAGTCGTTGCATTAGTACAAATCTACTGTAGTAGAATCTAAATGGATTTTTGTTTACAAAGAGAGAATAACAGATATACAGATCCTTGAAGAATCACCTTGTGAGATTGATGTACCTTTTTTTTGACAACAGTATACATTGAAACAAAACTTTACTAACGGTCAGATGATATATATCTACTCATATTTTGTACAAATATCTATTTCATAGTTTTAGTACGGTCGTTTTTAGTACAAACAGTTTTTTTTTATAGATGTTATTCTAAACTTTGAACTGTATATCACATATGTAGTTTGATAAATAAACTTAAAGACAGTGTAATACATAATAAATATGGTATGAAAAAATACAAAAATACTATTGAAGCATGTACGTACAAATATAGTACTAAAAATGGATAAAATTTAAACAAAATATGTTTGTTGATGTCTTGAAACTTTTGTTTGTTGTTGGTGCAACACTATTTCATTTAGGTACGATTTTTTGTGTTGCGTTGATTCGAACCTTCAGTTGTTGGACTTTATAAATAATGACTGAAAAACGACACGGAAGCTACCAAATGAATAGAAATACAACTACGAATGTGACACATAAAAAGGATAACATAGGACAGCACCACATCAGTCATCAACAATCGAACCTTCCGTGAAAATAAACGTACGAAGACAAACAATAATAAACAACACATTGTCCCGATTGGTTGACGACTAGGTTAATGCACAACATGTGGTGGTTTTAAACCTTTTTTTACACGAGCAAAACAACTTCTTAATCGTTTTTTGTAAAGGTTACATACAGATTAAAAAAAGTTGATCAAAATGAGCTCGCTATTATAGGAAGCAAGCCAATGTGTTGGTTTAATACTGCCGAAAAAAATCATAAAAACACAATTATAAGAACGTCCGTCAACATTAACTGATGAACTATATTCAATAAGTCGTTGTTTAATTTATTCACTTCCTTTATATACTTTGAATGATTTTAACCATATGTTGATCTCAAGTAATGTTTTTTATTTGTTGAGTAGTAAGGTGGATGTCTCAATAATTATTTCTACAACCGTATCTCCTTTCACTCATTTTGAAAACTGAATAAAATCTACAACATTCAAACACAAACCCCTTGTAATTCCGACACCCTCTTAAGAACAGGACATAACTTAAAATTGTATCAGCCACCTGGGTTCGTAATGGTAAGGTATGTAGGTTGAGTTCCAGGGAAACATTTCAAACTTTTTTCGAAACGATTTTATGTTAGTTACCTGCGTATAATGACAGCTAGATAAACAAGCTTTCCCTGAGTAGCTGTACGTGTTAAGTTCATCATACCACCCTTTCATGGCGTCTTTAGCCATCTTTTCGGCATCGTCTCCGGTAGCAAAAGCTAAGTTCTCTCCGCGACCTTTATGCTGATGATCAAAGTTACATGATTTTATCCAATCACCTGCCTCCTGTTCTAGCTGTTCGTCCCATACCTTGTAATAAAAGAAATTATTAATTGCTATTATAAAACATAAAAGTTCCAAACACCAAACCATGTTTCCATTTTCTGAATTTTGTTTTTGAAAAGATGATAATAAAACGGTAGGTAATGTTTTAACAATATCTCTTCAAATTTGACATGATTTTGCAGCGCTGTCATTAATTAAGGGTAAATTTATGTCAATTATGCAGTCTTTAGGAAAATTTGCAAAGAATTTGCTATAAAAACCAGAGTTTAAGAAAGTTATCATTTCTATACCAGAAATTTTTGTACTTTGAGCTTACTTTAAGCATTTTCGAGCATGACAAACTATTGATTTAGAATTAGTATACTTCTACTTTTGTCTACCACTTTTCCGTACTAATGGCGAAACAATTTCGATAGAAGGATGTCAGTAGAACATAAATCCACTAATAAGATAAAAAAAATCAAGGTAAAAAACGAAAACTGAGGGAATCGCATAAACTCCAACAGAAGCGAAGCCATTTTTCAAAAGATATAGATATTTGTTTTTGGATCTGATTTTAGATGCCATTGAATTTTATTTATTTTAACAAACATGTCAATTAAAATGTTATTGCAAGATTTGCCACTTAGCGTTTATAAAATCGCTTAAAATGTTGGATGTTGTTAATTAGAATTTTACCAGCTTGTTCATGTTAGAAGCTCCCTGTTTTCTTCTGTAGGTAGAATGTTCATCTAACAATAACTGTTTGTACTTCTCGGTATCTAGAAGTTCACCAGCTGACATGGCAACAAAACAGATGAACCACAACGGCAACATTCTGTAACTGATAAGTAAAGGGATAAACCGAAAGCAATACAAAATTAGAATTTAATGTTAACACACATACGCATTTAAAAAACAAATTACATCTAAAGAGATGTTATAGTTGTGATAACAAATACTCTTGAAAAATATTTTTTTTAAGAAGTTGTTCTTTTCTGCACTTACGTGCCTATAGTTTTTTTTGAGAACCCAACTATTTTCACATGGCGTCCAAGTGTTCACTTGTCCAATTCTACTGTTGAAAATAGGAATGAAATATACATGTTGTCTTAAATACAGATATGACATTTTAACTCTAGAAAACCCAAGAAAACACAGAATTAAATTAGAAAGGATAAAGGGTGAACAGTTACTCAACAACAACAATAAGGCAGATAGACGTCTATACGGTCTTCAACAATAGACACATGCAAAACAGTATATCATATAGTATATTTTGAACAGCGGTATACTACTGTTGCCTTTATATAATCGCCGAGCCGAGAAAAATTTTGAATTCTAACAGAGATAAATATATGTCATCAACACCGCGAAAACTCCATAAAGAACATAAACACCAAAATACTGTGTAATAAAATACGAAATCATTATCTCTATCTGAAGGTCAAATGGTATGTCACTTTTATTTAGAACCTCTGCTGGTCAAATACATGAATATTTGTAGACAAAGTTGTTAAAAGGAATGTGAGAGGTCTTGTTCGAAAAGTTATCATGTATTATACTACAGTATAAATAACAAATGACTGAGCGGATGAAAGAACATACCAATAACCCGAGAAAGCATTGTCAACCAGCGAAGACCATTATAGTAATGACATATCTGCAAGTTCCTTAACAATGGCTTTACCTAGAGAAAAGTATATCTTTTAGTCAAACAACAGTTACTTTTGACTTTTTTTTTCTTTTTTTTGTTTTATCATCTCTTTCATGTCTGAATTCATTTTTGTATTTTCAAATATTTTGGCCTCGAGCATCACTGAAGAGACATTACTTGTCGAAATGCGCCTCTGGTGCAGTAAAATTGGTACTGATAATGTATTTACAATTCATTAACTAGTAACTTAAAATACTTCCAGAACAAATCCATATGTATGGGTTGTGGTCTCTTTGATCGTCAAAGGAGCTTTTCAAAACAACTATTATTGAGGGTCTCAGGAATAATGATGGATGCATATGTAAACTAACTTGAGACTTTATGTTATATATTCCTTCATTTTTTTTAACTTTCACTGCGTTTTCCCCACTGCAGCCATTAAAAAATATATATTGAACACCTACTGTAAATCATTACCAATTAAACATTTGAATCATTGATTTCTTTAACAATCATCATCACAAAATTGTGTGTGTATGGGTAGAGGTTCGCTTTGCAATATATCTAAGTCATATATCTATCTACCATACGAAAGATAACTTATATTGTGTTTGTATATGTTTTTTGTATGTATTCTTGCTACGAACAGACACTAAACTAATTAAAAGATTTCTTTTTCATACTCTTTTAAAAAAAATTAATTTCAATTATTTTGATATCATAGATGATCAGCTTGAAAATTCTTCATGTCTTTTAAAAAGAAATATTTTTTTGCACAGAATTTTGAATATTATGATATCCATGCAAAAAAGTATTAACAAAAATACCGAACTCTAAGGTAAATTCAAAAAGGGGAAAGTCCATAAAATCTGACAAAATCAAACGTTAGACTATATATATCAACCAACAGAACAAATTGAAAACAATCGTCATATTTCTGACTTAGTACAGGAATTTTCCAAAGAAATGGTGGGTTAAACCTGATTTTATACCAGAAAACCCTGGCCGTGTTAGGCGCAACTTTTTGGAAGTTTTGGTCCTCGGTGCTCTTCGGCTTTGTACTTGTTTTGGCTTTCAAGCTTTTTTCATCTGAGCGTTACTGGATGGTCTTGTGAGGACGAGACGCACGTCTGGCGTATTTAATTTTAAGACTAGTACCTTTTGTTAGCTATTATTCGTGTGTTTCTTTGTCCTATATGTTCTCCCATTTATTTGTATTGTGGTCCTGTCATGTGATGTTGTCGTTTTGGTGTTGTGTTTGACGTTGCCATTAAAGCGGGAGGTTTGGCATGCCACAAAACCAGGTTCAACCCACCATTTTCCTGTACCAAGTCAGGAAAATGGCCATTGTTATATTATAGTTCGTTTTTGTGTGTGTTACATTTTAATGTTTTTATCGATTTATGAGTTTCGAACAGCGGTATACTACTGTTGCCTTTATTTATAGCTAGATAAATCTCCCACTTGTATGACAGTTGTTTATAGTTCCGTTATGTTGTCAAAATAGGATGAGCAAATTAATGCTGCGTACAAAGTGAAAATATCCAGAAGATGCAACTAACTGGTGTGTCGAGGATTAATAACATTATCAGCAACAGATGCACTGCACTAGATGAGGTTCATTCGGCGATGTCACAATGGAGGAAAAGTAGACGGCATTTTGGTAACGACAATTTGAACATATCAATGGTTATTGGCGATTAAGTTTATGTTCACGCTAAATGGAAGCGATAAATAGAATTGACGGATATATCGCCAGCCACTGTAAGACAATGAAAGAGAAAAAAAAAACAATAGGATGGTTTGACATTGCAATCTGTGCATTACACTTCAATAACTAAATTAAAAAAACCGGGAAAATTCAGTAATAACGTTATTTGTTTTTTAGATGTATGGATCCTTCATTACAGTAGTAATATTGTCAGTTTCAGACTTCCAGTATGGGATTAATTTGTACCATTTTCCAAATCAAACAGTAGTTTAACAGGCTACACAATAACCAGTTAACAGAACGTTATTGATTCATGCCAAAAATTAGCTTCCCCATAGGTAGACGATCAAATAAAAAAGGGAAGGCCGAAGGGCTTCTCCTAAAATATGTATTATCATCGGGTTAATCGTGATGGTTATGTCTTATCACCACTTAAAAAGATAGTTAGTTGGTTGAAAGTTTTTGTGAATGAAGTTAAACGGCAAAGGAGAAGATCCTGAAATGCCTCGCAATACTATTAGTATCACCATATTTGGAATGTTTGTGAATTTGATTGTCTCATTTACAATCTTGTATCAAGTCAGGAATATGATAGTTGTTTTGTTAAGTTTAAAGGACTTCTCCCTTTTTTAATTTACCTTGGAATTCGGTATTTTTGATTATACATTTTTTTTATATAATTTTACGATAGTCAAAACAATTCCAATGTACAAAATGCATGTTGACTGACAATCCAACATTGTATTAAACATGCATCACGTTTAAGACTGAACCGGGTCGTTACAAAATGTGTTAAAAAAAGAATTAAAAACTTACTTGGTGTTTGCTTGCCTTTGAACACTTGCTGATGGTTTGATATTACCCATCTTTTTATAGCGGGTTATGTTTTAATTATCAGATCATTATTTCATGCATCAAAATCAAAGGTCTTTGTTTTATTGTAGGTTTCATTTGTTTACTGGATCATTATTATCGGCAAATTTTTACTAATTTATAGCAATTAACAATATTTATCACAGTTAGTCACTCGTCTTTGTATGTTCCGAATAGATAAATAAGAGAGACAGATTTATTTTTATATCAAGGTTGTGTCTTATGTTGATTTACGTTTCAAAGGTTCATTTTTATAAACATAAAGTAACTAAAATGAAAAAGGTTGAATCGTCATTTCGTCGTAAGAGTATTATAGTGTGATATGTTCACTTTTGATAAAAATGGAGATAGCTATAAACTAGATATCCAGGGCAATTGCCTATCTCCATATACAATTTAGAACTATAATACGCGATTTCTACACTCTACGGTTTTTTTGTCGGTACTATACTGTTATATCTTCATACTCCCATTGGATTATAATAACTTATTCATCTAGTTGGACACCATAAGTTTAGAGAAAAAAATGATAGTGTTGTATTTCCAACATTTTAGGTACTTTCGCCGTAAAATATTTGTTATCAAAATTATCTTAGTATTATATGCTTAAATTGTTTGCATGGTTTGATCTCAATCTTTGAGTTATTCTAAGCACATCAAGCAATCCCGAATTGCGAATATTACATAATAAAACATTCTCTATCTCCAATAGAAATATAGGGATTGATTTCTTAAACAATATTGCTTATCGTTTAGAGTTTTATTTCAAAAAGGGGAGGCTTTATTTATTTAAGATGTTTGTCTAATAAAAAAACACCAACCGAACAAGGAGTTACTCTTCATGCCGATAAATTCAATTTTTTTCATAACTTTCTATATCTCAGTCAAATATATATGATATCGCGCTTTTAAACTTCATCTTCAATTCCCAACATTTAGAAAAATGTGAAATACATCATTACAACACTCATACTACGATTTGTTTAACGGGTCGATTTTTACTCTTTTCCATAGAAATGCAACGCGGTTTAGTCATCTCCTGTAACTGCTTTACTCACAAATAAAAATGTAATGAAGCCTACAGCAATTTGAATATTAAACAGTCTAATGATTTACATGTAAGATTGTATTAACAATTTCACATTTACCCATACATGACTAAATTGTAATGTTATTCAGTGCTTTTGTTATGCTGAAGACAATTTTGATACAATTTTGTCACTTTAAAATGATTTTGTAAATTTTGCATCAACATATATTTATTTGTATCTAAGACATCATCTGAAACTTGTGGATTTTTCTATGGCAATGCAATTCATTTTAGTACAGTGGTGTAGTGTATCGTCAACAAGAGACTTATTTTGGATAGATCTGATTAATATTGGACGCATTGGATTCTGCGCAACGCTACATGATACGGAAGATACACATTTGACACTAACTCTGCTATCTTGTAACTGTGACAAATCTTTCCTTCTTGAAAAATCAGAAGCGGGCAGTTTCTCTCATGCATAAAGTTTATTTAAAGGTTATGTAAGGAATATGACAGTTTATTTGATAGTCATAATTGAAAACTCTAAATAGACATCAATTGAATTATCTGAACATTTACCTTCATCAGGAACGCTCAAAGCCGAATATTTGAAAGGCAATGCTGTATTAGAATCGAAACAGGTGACAAAAAAAAATGACCTAAATATAATAGCAATATCCATCGTAGGTCAAGTTTGCCTGAGTGAGTTGAAACCTTAGTTTCTTGATGATTTGTAAATTTATAATCTTAATAATACATGGCAGCTTTGTATTATATATTATGTATTGTAACTATATTCCTGTATATCATACTCACCTTGAGGAGGATAATAAACATATATATAAAGAGCGCTGGACATGAGGCTAAGCGATTGGTGCTGTAGTGTATCAAAGGTGTGAGTTCGAATCCCGTTGAGGGACAAAAATTTGTCAGCATAAAAGTCTAATTCTAACACTGTTGGGTGTAATTTTCAGACTTATATATATATATATATATATATATATTCTGAATTGATAAATTAGAGACTGATTTATTTTTATATTTAGGTTGAGTCTTGGGCCCTCAATGCTCATCAGCTTCTTGAATTACTTTATTTGGCCGTATTAACTTTTTGATTCGAGCGTCACTGATGAAACTTTTGTAGAAGAAACGTCCGTCTGGCGTACACAATTTTAATCCTTGTATGTATCTATGATGAGTTTATTGATTTATTGTTCAAAGGTTCATTTTTTTTAAAATATGGTGACTAACATGAAAAGGTCGAATTGGCATTTGTTGAATGAGTTTATCTGGAATCTTTACCATTGAAATGTAACGCGGTATAGTCATCTAATAAAGCTGTTTTACTCACAAGGTCAAAAAGGAAAGCAATGAAACCTACAGCAATTTGAAAAAAACATGTCTAATTATAAACATAAAACATATAATTTACAATTTCACATCAAGCCATACATGACTAAATCAAAATGTTATTTTTTATGTTGGAAGACAATTTGCCAATTTCAAGTGATTTGGTAAATTTTTCATCAAAATATATTTATTTGTATCAAAGACATCACCTTAAAAAATATTTTGTCGGTATTCATCATTTTCGAATCTCAAATCAATGAAAATAAGTAACACTTTAAGGACGACTATTATTTTCTACTTGAAAGGTTTGAAATGAGCAGTAAACAACCTCGTAAAATGTGTATGATTTCAGCACAAACAACACGTGGCTCCCGAATAACCTTCATCGCGTACACTAGAACCCAAATATTTAATACATACAACCTTACAAGTACATTAAACTTTTGAGAGCATTCAAAACCCCGAGAGCCTAATAAGGTCAATTTTGCACGAGATATTATGCAATATTGATTTTAGTTTTAGCCAGGATATAATTTTATGAAATGGGAATTTACAGACTAAAATGTATCTTACAAATCATACCAATACTGAAACACATCAAAATAAATATAGTCTACCTCAGATCTGCTTTCAACAGTAAAGTGTCCTAATGACAAAACCTTAAAGATATAGCTAGACAACCACTAACGAGGGTTCTCATGTCAGACAGACGCATACGTTTTGGGATTAAGCTATTCTTAACATTAAACCGCCCATTAATTACCACACGAGTAACACTTAATTTGTATCTGTCGTTACACTGTATTTTGAATTAGTATATTTTGAAGAAATATATCTTGTCCGTCACTTCAAAATCAGCGTTATCGATGGGGGTATTGTTTAGGTGCTTTAAGCTTGCTTTCTTTGATACAGTATCGTTTTGTTTGCACTTTAGTTCCTGACATCTATTGTAGCGATATTATAGAGTAAAGTTCATATTTGTTGTTCTACTGATTAAGATGAATTAGATTGAGATAGTTATGTGCAAAATCATAATAACTTAATACAAATAAAGCAAAATAGGAAGTGTGTAAGATTGAAAATGTTTTTAAAATTGAGATAGAAAACTGCAAACTGTTAATTCCCCCTAAACTTATGGTATCTTTTGTTACGAACCAACGCTTTTCTATTGAATCCCGATATCAAATATTGCCTTTAATAACTTAATTATATATATTTTAATGAAATATTTGTGAAAATGTGTTTTAAATATACCGAATAAATTGTAATTTGAAATCGAAATATGATTATTATACAAAAAATTAGATATATATAATTACTCTTAAAAAAAAAAGTAATTCAATCCCGAAAAAGAGTAATCAAGGATTGTCGTATAGATCGTCGAGTTCAGCTTTCGTCTAATGACATCGAATATGTACTTTCGCGTCGAGAATCCCTACTTAAGCTTATTTGAATGAATTTCAAATTGCTTTGCTGCTTACTGGTCAGTGTCAACGTACTAAGTATCACCTAACATACAAATGTTATCAAGTAAAACAGCCGCTTCTTACATTTTTGTCTCTATATTGGTTAAAAATCATGTCGCTGTAATTTTATGCCACTCACAGCAATATATAGACAATCATCATAAACTGAACGATTAAACAATGACTCGACAATGGAAAATAATAGAAAAGTTAATACGCAGATGGCTTCGTTCGTTTCTTTTGAAAGTATAAAGCAAAATCTGCAATGATCAGTCTTTCTTTGTTGCTGCAACGGAATGGAGTAAGTATAAACATCATTATCATCAAACTTAAAGCCCATATTATTTATAAATTTCAATTAACAAAACATGAATTAAGATAAAAGAATTATTTGAAATATTCAATTAGTGTTTATCAAAATTAAAAACAAAACAAAACAGGAAAGATATATTTTTTGGAAATACAATCAGTAAGTGTCAGAATTTTTTTATTTCTTTATAATTTCAAAATTTTAATTTCAAAATTGAAAATTTTTTTTAAAATTTTTTCTCGTCAAATTATACAAATTATTACTTTTTTGATCAGGAAACATAGTTATGTTTTATGTTCTACTTTTTTACTTAAGAATTTTTAAATGGATACATACAATCCACATTTCTATAAATATTAACAACAATGTTTCTTTTCCGTTACAAAACTCGTCTAAAGTTTATCCATAGTAAACCGAACAGTCATATTTTTATAGAAAATATTTCATGTCCTTGCCTGATTATGAACTGATTTTTTTATTCGGCAAAGAAAGAAACAGAAAAGAGAGGACAAAACAAGAACATAAGAACGTAAAGAAATGTCAGGACAAATCAAGACAATCACAACTCATAGAAAAGACAGAGCAAAACAAGACCAAGATTTCAAAAAACCCAAGATAATACAACAAATAGAGAACGCAATGAAAAGACAAAGATCAATTATACATAATAAAAACATATGATTCAGTTTATCTGATTTGCTCATTGAAATGACAAAAACTTCTTCTTTCAGGAAGTTAATGATGTCTTGGCTATTCTTACCGATGTTGCTAACGCCAATAATATCTCAGGAAGTACCAGTG